AAAAATCAATGAAATGTTCAGATTCAATAACTGTTAAAGTTACTTTTTCGGAATTATAATAAGTTGATAAAAGATTTCTTATACGTATTAATGAATCAGTAAGAAATTGTTTAATTGTTCGAACAGTCGATAATGGACAACAAAGACGTAGATCATTAAATGCTGTAAGTATAGTATTACAATAAACAGCTAATGGTGTATAACTAACAAGAATAATTGGTGGTACAAATGGATTTGTTGATGTTGTTGAAGAATCTGTTGATGGTAATTGAACATAATGATCAAATGTGTAAGAAGTAAGTAATTGTTCAAAAATATGATTAGCTTCATGAAGTGAACTTTGAAAATTTGTTAAAGCTGTTTGAGAAAAAAATTGAATAAATAATGGTCGAAAATCAAAACCATAACGAGAAAATGATGCACCAAAATACATAACTTGACCAAGAAGTGATTCAAGCCGTTGATATTGCGAACCTATTTATATAAATACATATATATTTTATTGAAAAGAGTAGGTTACTCCGACGAACTGCAACAAATAACTTTAGTTCATTTTGGTTAATTAATAAAAAAAAAATTTACATTAGGACTTCTTAAACTGGTTCTTCTATTATTTACTTATGTAAAAAATAAAAGTAGGAAAATAATACTACTGTAATATTAGAAGAAGAATTTCTAGACGGTGATTTATCTAGAGGGAGAGCAAGGATAGCGGCGTCCTCCCGAAAATTCCAATTTTTGTGCTTATACGATGTATTTTCTCTTCAGAAATTAGGGTTTCGCCCTCCCGGACATCGGTGTTGCACTCTCGAAAGAGGAAACCTAGGTAAAACACTGTTTCAACAATAATGATAAATAACATGTTTATTCTTTGATTCTCTTATTTAATTCGGTATCACAAAAAACTTGAGATTTAACTTTATACATAAATTTTTCAGTAAGAAAAATGCCGAAGAAACTTAACAATTAATACAAAGTATCACTTTTTGTTGGCTATACAAAATTTACATTCATTTAGAATCTCAATAGATCACTTTGCAGTTAGTTTAAAACTAAAATCTTGATTGATATTTATTTTATCTTTAAACTTACCACTACAATGTTGTAAATCAACTTGTAATACTTTTAAAAATTCATTTAAACGATAAATAAGCCATGAACGAAATAAATTCGTTTCTTTAATAAATTCATTTCGATTAAATGTAACATATAATGTTGTATCATCATCACTAAATAATGCTCGATATTGTGTCACAATGTCAAAAAGTATATTACGTGTTTCATCAATATATTTTGATGCATGTTCATAATAATCCGATACATTTGTTGATGAATATTGTTGTTGAATTAAATTTAAACGTTTATGTAAAAATTGTGTACGTGCTTGAAGAAAACAAAGACGTAATTCAAGTTCATTATATATATCCATACGACGAATAAAACCCATTATACGTAAACAAGCTGGTAATTGTATTTGTGTTTGCAGTTGATTTATTAATTGTTCAAGCATATATTCGAGTGATAAACGTACATCATTAACAATATTTGTTACAATTGGTATATGTAATGTTGTATTTGATGTTATTTTATTTAATGGTAAAGAAAACTTTCTTTCTAAACGTTTACAATATGTAACAATTTCAAGAGCTTCATCAAAATAATCATTTCGTACACATGTATTCATTAATTGTGGTATTTCCAATATTTCTAATAATTGTGGATATTTTTGTAATGTAAACATATTTTGTTTGCGTAAATGATTTGTTTGTTCAGTTTCACGTATAAATGTTTGACAACATGATGAAAATTCATCAAGTTGTTTTAATATTATTGTTAAACGTTCTTCAATTGTTGAAAAATCATTGGAAATATCTTTTGAACATTCAGCTGTTTGAATAAATGTCGAATAATTATCAAATGTTAATGATAACATTTGAGATGATTTTGAACATTTTTCATCATTTAAATATTCTAATTCACGATGTAAACGTTCTGTATCATAGGTAAATAATGTTTGAAGATAAGGAAGATAGGATGTTAAATCATTGGAATGTATTGATTCATCAGATGAATCTTTTATTAAGGATTGTAAAAGACTTTGTTCATCAAGTTCCATTTGAGATTTATCTTAAATAGAAAATATAAAGAAACTTTTCAATACTCTCACAGGATGTATATTATCTTTTAATGCATAGTTAAGTATAGGGTATAAATAGATATATACTATATCGCTGTCTATGTTATTTCGTATATTACTATCATCTAGCGAAGTTTCTCTGTTTACGATCAAAAATCATATAGATTGATTCGATTTCAAATTCTAATACTTATACAAAATACATATATATTTATATAAAACTTTTATTCTATATTAAGCATACATCGAATTCGAATGGTAGCATTCAGTGGTTTTCGGTTCATTGATAAAAATAAAGGGTTTTACGATTAGCTACGACAATATCACTCACAATGTCGAAGTCTAAATCTAATCGAACTGGGAACGTCTATTCGAATTCGACGTATGTCTACACTGTATACTAACATACATATCCTACTATTTCTAGTTGACAAATAAAACATAAAAATAGTGTTTTGTTGATTTATATTTTTTGATATATGAACAAAACAAATTCTCAATTGTACGAGAGAAAAAGGAAAACAAACGACGGAAAAAAAACAGATCTAATTATTTCATAATCAACCAATAATCAATAAGTTTATGAGAAATACATTTTGGTAAAATTGAAAGACATGTTAAATGAAGTGCATTTAACCAATAACCTGCACTATGATCACATCGACCTAATTGTCGAAGAATTGTATCGACATAGATTTGTGGTTTACATGAACCCCATATTAATTTATTATTTTCATTTAAACCATGTTTAGATAAAATATATTTTTGAAAATTTTCAACTGTACGTACATCAGTTGATGAACGTATCCATCGAATTGGTAAATAAACTGTTTGAAAATGAAGTAAACCACGATTTGAATATTCGATTTTACGTGCATTAAAATAAATTGTTAATAAACGATGAAGTGTAGAATTTAAACAAGATTGATGTGGAACAACATTCAAAATATATGCTGGTCGACGACGTACTGACATATAGGGAAGAACCTAGTAGAAATACAAGTTATAAACTATAATTCAACAATTTACCACAGGAAAAACTTACAATATATGCTAATTGCATCGGTGGTATAAGATAATTATTAACAATTGATTGAAATTCCGCTGGATTGAGTGTTTTTGATAAATTTTGATCATTAAATGGTCGCGTACAATTAATATAAAGAACGAGATTTGCATTACGTGCAATAGTTTCAATAGTTTCAAGACGATCAAATGATCCAGCACGATGAAATTTACTTACTAATGGTATTTGTCCAACTGTTGGTGGTGTAGCACTTGACCATGTACCAGCAACTGTTGTTAATGGTGATGTTAATTCAAGTGGTTGTTGTGGACTATTCCATCGATAAATTACTGTTACTGTTCGAATTAAAAATGTACGTTCAATATGTGTTGAAAGTAATTTTAATTCTTCTTGTAATTCTTCTGTTGATACCAATATAAGATTGTAACCACGTTTCTTAAATAATAGTAAAAATAAATTTTTTATTTAAATATAAAAATAAATTTTATTTACAGCAAGATTTTGTGCAAAAGCACAGCCACTTGGTGTTGTGCAATCATTAATTAATGCCCAATGTTCATCATGATCCGGTAGAGATAAATCATTATTTTTTGAATTTGTTGTTAATGGAGTTTTTAATAAAACAGAATTAATTTTATACGGAATAAAATAAAGTTTAATTGTCCTATAGAAATAATACGGTACAGGTATTAATTTTTTAAGTATATAACAACCAGCTAGAAGTGCTAAACCATCTCGAACTGGTTCATAAACTGAACTAATATCTCTGGCGATAGCTTGATAAAGAAATTCAAATGAATCAATCGATAATGGTTGTCGTGGATCAAGAACTAATAAAGGAGACATCTATAATAATAAAAAAAGAATCTTAAAAATTCATCACATTTTTTATTTAAATTTGCACAATTTGTTCACTACCCGAATAGTCGGGAAGAGTAATTTTATATTTAGTTTGTAAAGCTTTAGGAACAAATCGTCCGCCTACAAAATGATATTTTCCTTGAAAATTTTGCATACATATTTTCGGTGCTGTTAATGATATAACACATTCAGGTTGTATGCAATCATTATTTATTGCGCCTTTTTCAACATCCCATCCGCTTGGTACATCAATAGAAATAATCGGTGTGGTTTTTTCTAATTGCTTCAATTCTTTAAGAATACCACCAAATGGTTCACGAATTTCACCAGAAAATCCAAAACCAAATATAGCATCGATAATTAAATCAATTTTTGGTTCCGATGGCATTTTATCTGTAACTTTAATATCCATTTTTTCACATTGACGAACAAGATTTTTATATAATTCTTTATCGGTTCGTTTTGGATAAACAATTAATGGATCATAACCGAATAATTTCAAATGACGAGCACAAACAAGACCGTCACCGCCGTTATTACCACCTCCAACAACAACAAGACATTTAGAATATTTATTTGTATCATTGTATGCTTTTGCTAAATGAAAAGAAAAAACAATATATATATAATAATTATATTTTTTCAATCAATATGTATTGATAAAATCTATAACTGTCAAATCGATGAAATACAGCAAGGTTGCGCAATGATAAAGAACATAATGTTATGTTTTACATGAGAAGCAGAGACCAAAATCAAATGAAGAATTTTTTGTTCATTTTTCTTCTTTAATATAAAACTTAGAGTAGACTATACAGACAACTTTAGTATCTTCAGTCGATATGAAGCAATTGAACTACGTATAATTTTCATGTTCAAATATGAAAAAAAGCTGTGATTCAGTAGAATTTCATATCAATATAGCCAATGAAATCAGATTGATCTCAATAACATACATTTATAGGATTATGTTACTAATCAAACGTACTGGTTTAGAATGTAAATGAGATAAGAATGTATTCGTATTATACTACTATTTATTTAGGAAAAATATTAGACTATATAGAGGATAGAGAACCACATATCTTTGAGTTATGCCCGTCGGATATAATGTATATGAATAGACCTAATATCGAGTGAACGAATTACTACCTAACAATACATGTAATATTGAACAATGTTCAAATAATAATAATAAACGATGCACTAGACGTAAAACAATTCTTTCTTCAAGCACTTTATTTCAAGATGTATTTGAAGTAGATCAATTGGCTGAAAAAAATAATTGCATTTTATGTACTACATCCTGAGACATATCAATATGTTTCTGTAAGTCCTCTGTCAATCGATATAATTGTATTAACATCACTATACACTCTTCCTTCGAAGGTCATTCAGCAAAGAGAGAATTATAAATATCCAATACAAGGAAAAATTTTACTGAACTATATATATCAAATAACTATCATTTTATCTTAACGAGTTATTCAATCGTTATCTTTTTACTCACCAATCGCTGATGCACAACTTAATCCTGCTAATTCCATAAGTTGATCGACACTGAATTTGTATTCATTAAAGAGTTCTTCATCAATGTCTTTTGATTGTTGTTGTGTTAAATATGATACTTTTTGTGATGTCATTGTATAAATCTGTCGAAAAAAAAATAATCTACTAATTAATCGCATTTAATTCATCTATAAAAACAGAACACTAAATAATAAATTTTTATTTTTGTATTCTTTCGTAAACTATCAACTGTTCACTGAAATAAATCGCACACAACTAAACATATCTTCTCAAAAAAAAAACAATATAAGTACATAAAAACATAGATCATACAAAATGAGAAATGAAAAAAAAAACGAATGGAAAAACTTCTTTTTTTTTATTATTATATACAATTAAGATTTGTCATCATAATCATTGAGAAAATCAAAACTTGTTAAATCTGGTTCACCCATTGAATTTCGTCCATTATTCACATCTGTATTACCAGATTGATAAACAATTGTATTTACTAATTTTGATCGTTGTTTATTCATATAACCTTTGATTTTAATCTCATCGCCTTTTATTTTAATACGATGTTTACCATCAATTTTATTACCAATATTAGCATATAATTCATTTATATGAGCATTTTCATCATCAGCTGTCGATGATGAATCACTAAGCATATCAAAACTTGTTTCACGGTGTTTTGGAAGATGTGAACTAGATAATGTTTTATTTTGATTATGTATTGAGATTAATTTCTTTTCATTTTCTTCATCATCATCATCATCGTCATCACGATCATTTACGATTGTTGAACGTCTTTTTGTCTCGATTTTTTCTTTCTGTTGTTCTTTAAGTTTTTGAACAACTTCATCATCATCATCTTCATTTGAACCTGGAGTTTTTATTTTAACTAATAGATCGTTACGATTAATTAATGAACGTCGTTTAAATTCCCTAATTGAGACAAATATGAAAGTGATAAGAATTATTCGAAAATAGTGTGATTTATAAGTGAACTTATTATAATGAATTGAGTTTAACGAAAGTAAAAGCTTACGAGGGAACATCCCAACTGCCAAATCGCTTTTTAAGTAAAACCTAATGGGTTCTAGGTTAACGACCATGCTGATTTCGAATATGACCATGAGAAGTGCTCTTAGACCTTTATAGGGTGGTTTTCTAGAAAATCGGTCTCCAAAAACCACATACTTTTTACTAAATGTTGTTTTGTTTCGCTCAGATTATAGAGCATATCAAATTGTATATGAAACAACAACTCTTTCTGTTTCAAATAGAATATTCGAGAAAATACAGCCAAGTAAATCTATAAAACAGGTGCATACTATAACAACTTGATACTAAAATACAAAAGTTTCTATTGTTTTCCTTGGAGTTCATTTTTGCAAAACAGGAAAAACTACCATTTCATAAGCAGTTCGATATGCTCTATAATCTGAGTGAATAAAAAAAAGATTTAGTAAACAGTATGTAGTTTTTGGAGACCGATTTTCTAGAAAACCATCCTATAAAGGTCTAAGAGCATTTCTCATGGTCATATTCGGAATCCGCATGGTTGATAAACTCTATCCCAATGGTTTTTATTAAAAAAGCGATTGGACATTTGAGGATGTTTCCTCGTTAGATTACGTCTTCGTAGTTAAATTATTCGACTAGTCTCAATCAAATCCTATCTTCAAATCTCTCCGCACCATTGAAAAAGCAAAAAAAAAGCAGAACCTTTTAAATATTCATGGAATTGAAGACATTAATCAGAAATGTACAAATACCTATCAAAGAAACTGATCGGCCACTGTTATATTTTATAATTCAAGAAAAATCGCTACTTCTAGTAATGATTAAATCTAATTCATCAAGTATTTTTTGAAAAATATTACAGGATTCAAATGATTCAATTAGTCATATCATATATGAATAATTTCTATCGAAAATATTTCTTCACTTACATCGATTGATCAAGTTGTTCAAGTACTGGAGCTACGCGTTTAAGTAATTTTGGTATTAATTTATGATAAACAATAGCTGGTAATGTAAATAATATTAACATAACTATATATGATACATAGAATCCATGTAGTTTTACACCAATATATGCAAGTATAAGACAAACAATAATAATAATAAATGAATATTTTGTTCGATTTTCTGTTTTAATTATATTTAATTTTTCATGTGTTTGACATGTATGTCTATATGAACGTAAAACAAGTTGTGTTAATTCAGATAGATTTTTTTCTTCATCAACTAATCGTTTCTTTTTTATACAATCAAGTATATGAAGTATAATTAAAACAATAGTAATAGCACAAAATGGTCGTAAACCAGCACGTGCTATAGCATAAAACATAGCATGACCAAGAATAAATGCAATTAAACTTGCATATCGATTATGCCATAATAAAAATCTTTCAATACGATGAAATGCTGGTTCAAGTGATATAATTATATCTTCCATATCTGAAATGAGAGAAAAAAAAATTCTTCATATATATATTAACTATAGATACAACAAAAAAAACAAGGAAAAATAACAAAAAAGAAAATCATTAGTTAACAAAAACAATTTCATCTACTTTTTTTTGTACATTTGTTATTGGTTTAGATTTTATATCTATAACCATATCAAGTTGATATCGTTCTCGACATTCAACAAAAAATGTTTCAACATCATGAACATTTTTTGTTGAACCAATTATACGTGATACAGTATGAAAATCTTTTCCATATTTTGCAAATGCTTGTATAGCCAAAAGAATTTCTTCTATTGACCATGTTGATGTTGTTGTTTCAATTGTATTTATATTATTACAAAGAAATGGAATATGCATATTATCCATACCATCCCGTGATTGATTTGTTAAAAGTTCAATTGTTTGATTATGTGATTGAATTATTGATAATTCATTTCGTATATCTTCTTCTAATCTATCAATAGGATCCATAGATGATTCATTCGATGTTAAATCATTTATATCAACCGACATATTTTTCGGTGGTCGTTTAATTTTTTTAATTGCTGATTTCGTTCGATATAATTCCGGTCTCATTAAACCAGAATTTTGCCAATAAATAAAACATTCATCACAAAGTATACCTTTTGGAGTTGGATGCATCGTTTCACATAAGATTTCACAATTATAACATTCTTGTTCGTCACTATTACTTTGATCAATTTTTGTTTGTGATCGATGATGATCTAAATCTCTAAAAGAATACATATGTAGAGTCTATCGAAATACTTGAAAAGCAATCGAATGATTTCTTTGTCTTTTTCTTCTATTGATCAATGTATACATTATGAAGTATGTCATTGAAATGAAAAAAAAAATGCTACAACTATACAGGTTTGATATTCTTTCAATAAATGAGTAAGAAATTTATTCTCATATGTAACAAAAAAAAACGAAGAAATAGAAATTGAGAAGATTTTATCCTGAATAGAAAACGAAAAAAAAGGAAATGTCTAGTTTACAACGTTTTGTATATACAAGGTAATAAATTTCCTACATTCATTTACTGTCTCCTTCAGATATCAAGGGCATAGAAGACAAAAAATAGAAGTCAGAATAGACCTTGTAATATAATTTTTTGTTTGACTTACTTTGTAGGTAAAGATATAGATGTTGTATTTTTTTCTTCATCATCATCATCATCACTTCCATTATCTTCATCATAGGGCATTAATTGACATTGTTTTTCATGTTTATCCATAAGACTTTTATATAATCGTGTTTTTTTCCATGAATAATAATATCGAACAAGTTCAGCAATAGTTTTTTCTGGTAACATTTGTTTAATACGTGAAAATGTTTTACCATAAAATTTATATGCTTGTTCAAATAAAAATTTTTCTTCAACTGTCCATTCATCGATTTCAGGTGTATATTGTTCCATTAATAATTTACTTGTTGCTATTTTATATTTACATATTTGTAAAATTGCTAATGCTTGTTCTTCATTCATTCGATGTTTTCGTCGAGCATAATCAATATATTCAATAAGATCATGTTCAGTTATTAAATCGCTTGGTTTCCAAAAAAGAATAGCATCATGATCTGTTGATAATGATATTGAATTAAGCAGAGGAATATTCGCTTGATAAGATGCACCTTCATGTATTCGAACATCATTATCTGATGTTGTATTTATTTCATTTGCTTTTTTCGATGGTGTTAATGTTAATTTCATCTTATTCTAGAACAAAGGATATTTGAGTTTTAGTTTCTGGATATTTTTTTGTTTGTATAGGATAGAATCGTACACAATAGATTAAAGTTAGTATGCAGAAGCAAAGATAGGTATCACAAAAAGAAAGAGAGAAAAAAAAGAATATTTTTTTTTGCGCATGAACAAAAAGCTAAAGAAAACGTTCAAATAGATTTTTATGTTTTGTTTTATATTAATAATCACTGAGATGGATAAAGTGCTCCTTCTGGTGGTTGGGATAATTTTGCATTCTCTTTTGATGACATGCTTCCTCGAATGTCATTTAATATTTGATGTATAGTCATATCGCGATTCCAATTACGAAGTGATGGAACTGATTTTGGATCAACCTAAGATAAATATATGAAGAAAAAAAAAATTTTGAAAAATAATTTTTTTTGCTTACGGAACCATTGGCTGCTACACCAGCTAAGTTTATACGTGTTTGAAAACGAATAGTAGGTACTTCTTCAGGATAACGATCACCGCAATGAACTTTTAATGTATAGATACGACCTTCAAAAGGCGTCTAAAATATAAACGAATTACTTATCTATAATAAGTTAAATGTATTTCATTAAATCTTACGCGTGTTGGTCCAATAATCATACAAACCCACCGGGACAGTGACATGTCATCATTAGATTCAAGACCCCATGATACCGAACTTAAAAAAACAATAAGAATAGTTTTTTTGACAAGTAATTTATTGTAAGAATTACCCTTCATGATGGCCTTTTTGAGCTGCTTCAAGTTCTTCCAATAATTTAAAATTTCGTGGAATAACTAATTAAAAGATAAATAAAATTTATATTTGCTTTATATATATATCTCGAATAAAACCTGTTCGTGATGGAAAACCGCTAGCCATGGATTGGCAATATTCAAAATCTGGAAAAAAAACTAAATAAATTCGGAAAATTAGAAATAAATTCGTAAATAAACAATCAAATCATCAGTAGTAGATATGTATGTGTGTGCATTTCTTCTTCTTTCCTACTCCTAACATTCTGTCCAATAGGATTCAAATGATAACATGTAGAGGCGAAACATATCTAATATGGCCGACTACTCATATTAGTTGCGCGAATTTATTAAACCAATATTTGTATTAAAAAAACACTATTTATTACTAAATTATAATAGCAAGATTTCATGTTTTCAAATTCGCATTTGATTGAAATAGTAATCTAGCAAAGATAATTTTGATATATGACGTGCAATGTAAAACATTGGAAAAAATTCTTATATGATAAATCTTGTAAATGAAATGAAACTTTTAAAAAATATGAATAATTTATTTCCTTGAAAGATTAATCCTTTCAGGACCGTGGTAGAACATATGTACTACCTACCCTGGAGGGGGGTCCAGGTTTTTTTTTGAGTCGCGGTTAAAAAGATAGCTTAAGAATAATGCACTGATCGTGAAAGCAAAAACTAGTCCTGAAAGGGTTAAAGAAATCTTTCGTTCATTGAACTAATAGAATAATTATTCTCAGCTATCATCATAATATACAGATGATTTATCAGCTTATAAACACATTATACGATGTTTGTATCGAAGATTACATAAGAATAGATTCAAACAGATCGACTAATGTAACAAAAAAACACAATTGATCGGTTTTGAGTAATTGAATAGAAACGTTAGTGTATTGAAAGAAATTTGATAGTTGTTTTTAGATGTATAATAAAATTACTGAGTAAAAAAAACAAGCTTTATTTGTAAATCTTTAAGGAAAAATGATATAATCGATTATTCAAGCGAAATAATGATATTTTTAATAACAGCAATACGGCTATCACGATTAGTAAAATAGAAACAAAACCTATATCGTGAGAATATACTGACATGTTTCCTGAAAGTAATCTTATTAAAATCGTAACTAATATAAGACTCTGTCAACAGATACAATCTTCTAGCATTGATCGAGAATTTATCCTTCTAATTATATTATTTATTTAGATGTAAGTTTTATATATCATCTAGTATTACATGAATAAATACTAAGAGTATTCATATATATACTGAAAAGGGTACTTATAAATTCTAGTGAGTTCTAAAAGTAACACTACTTTCTTTATGGTAAAAAGCTATGAAGTGTATTGTTACGTACTTATGAATTGGGTGTTAAATTACGGAAGATTGTCTTTGTTGATATTTGCTTTGGAAATATTCATAGTTATTATACATTATACTTTTTTCTTTTCTTCTACATTTTTAATGTATCGAGTAATAATCGACAGAAATTTGTTTTATTCTCTCGTCTTGTCGCAAGTTGCTTGATGTCATACGTTATATCGACTCGATTCGTTATCGTTTTCTACCAATAATAAACCAACTTTTCTCGACTACTACTACGGTTATTATACATGAAAAGAAAAAATGATTTTTTTTCATTCTACTTACTCTTACCATTCTGCTACAAGCTAAAAATTATAATTTTAATTAAAAAAAAAACTTTAAGTGATTTTGATCGAACACAAAAACTAATCTATTTATTTTTTTTTCTCTTAAAGATGAAATGATTCGGCATTTACTATCAAAAAATGTCTATTTTCCTTCGAAATCAACAACATATCTATTATCATTATTTAAACAACGAATAATTTCCGCTTCATATTATCATAGTGATTCTATTGATGGAAATAATATTCCTGAAGAAACATCATTTGAAGAACAACGTCTTTCTTCACAAGAAGCAACAGGAATATTACGAACACATGAAGCTAGTATTGATCTTGAAGCTAATTGTCCAGTAAAATATTATGAAGTTAATTATCTCGGCGCTAATAATCCACCGGGTATGTTATACATAAATAGAATAGAATAAATTATTTGAAAATATGAGACTGAATAAATACTGTATATGAAGACATGAAAAAGTAGTAGGTTAATTACCAAACTATGAGATTATTTCAAATGTGACAGAGATAAGAAAAATACTTCATAATTTATAATGCAAATAGTAATATGATCATTAGTTTATTAATGAGTGACCCAGCTAAATTAATCTAAACATTCTTTCAATGTCTCGTGTTAACCTTTAGGGAACATTAATCATCAATGGAAGACGTCAAAAAAAAACGTATAATTAATAAAGAGGAAACTATGACTTTCGTTTGATCAATGAAGAAATAGACAATAAAAAAAAAGACTATATTCTACTATTAATTATAACATTAAATCAGTGATCCGAAAACAATTTATTTTTCCTTTGAATAATTAATAAATATTATATGTTCTTTTTTTTTTCAAGAGGATCGACAAGCTCAAGCACGTATTCATTCACCAGATTCTTCAAATATGTATTTATTTGGAGTCTTCGATGGACATGGTGGTACATGGTGTTCTGATGTTGTTCGCCAACGTCTATTTGAATATATTGCAGTGACATTACATCCACCAAATGATTTACAACGAATAATGCAAGAAGCTAAACGAATAACAAGTACTCATCAAACTCATAGTCATAGTCATGACAAAACAGCATTAAATACTATAACTTCACTTCTTCTTCATTCATATTATAATCCATATAAAGATACACGAAATTCCAAAATAAAAGAAATTCATCAAATAAATTTATTAAAACATATTGAGGATGCTTATACAACAATTGATCATGACAATACTGATATAATCAGTGCATTAGAAAGTGCATTTATTAAATTGGATCGAGATATATGTGCAGAAGCAATACCTGTTGATACACAACAAGTTGATGAAGATATAATGCAAATATGTACAGCTGGTTCATGTGCATGTGTTGCTTTAGTTAAAGATGATGATCTTTATATTGCTAATTGTGGTGATGCACGAGCTATTCTTGGTATATTAAAATTAATAATTACAAATTAATTAATTAATTAAAAAATCTTTTTCTAGGTACTATTGATGATGAAGGTAATCAAACAGTTGTTCATCTTTCTCATGATCATAATGTACGTAATCAATCGGAAGTTAAACGAGTTTTATCTGAACATCCAGCAAATGAATCTCATTCAGTTATACGTAGTGATCGTTTACTTGGTTTATTAATGCCATTTCGTGCATTTGGTGATATACGTTTTAAATGGTCCGCTAATTATCTTCGTGAATATTTACAACCATATTATAAAAAAGGTGATGCTATACCACAATTCTATTTAACACCACCCTATTTAACAGTAAAACCCGAAATAACAAAACATAAATTAACAAGAAAAGATAAATTTCTTGTCTTAGCTACTGATGGTGTTTGGGATTTATTATCACCTGAAAAAGTTGTTGAACTTATATTTAATCATCAAAAAGGTATACAAAGTTTTGATCGATTTGTATTACATAAAAGTGGTCATACAACATCACTTAAATTAAAAGAAATTAATGAATTATTACTTTCAAGACATCAAGCTATTAAAAATCAACCTATTGATCAAAATTCAGCAACACATTTAATACGTCAAGCACTTGCTTATACATCAAAAGGACAATTTGATAGTAAACTTTTATCTGATGTATTAACATTTCCTAATCCACGATCAATACGTGATGATATAACAATAACAGTTGTTTATTTCGATCAAGATTATATCGATCAAATACAAACAAAAGGAAAGAAATAATAAAAGCTAAAGAAGAAAATATGGAATGATTTATAAAGTAGATGTGACAAGTTTTTTCTTTTCTTTTTCTTTTTTCATCTATATTTTCCTATTTCCTTTACCTTTCGGATTACTTCTTTTTTTCTTTTCTTTACTAATTACTTTTGTTTCATATGACAACAGTCATAAAGATATATAGATCTGTTACTATTTTTAAATACGAATTTTATAGAATAAAAAGATTTAGTTAAACCCAGTCAAAAGGAGTGCAGCAAATATTTATCTTATTTAATTTTATAATAATAATGCTCTATAAAAACAAAAGAATGTAAATATTAAAGACTTCGACATTTCTATTTATGATATATAATATCGATAGTTTTCAAATTGTAAAAAATCAAGAATTTCAATAATCAATTTTTAATGATAGAAATCTCTTTGTTAACAAAAATAAATACAAAATACAAAGAACTATATCCTATAAGTTTTATATCTGAATAAAAACAAATGTAGTTCATAAATGTATGTTACAAAACAAAAAAAAGTATCTCACAGGTTGTTCATTATAATAAAAAAACGAAATTATGCATAATATGTATGTGCACCGGGAGAAGCTATGTCCATTGTTGAAGTTGATTTGCATAAATAATCAATTTTATTACTTTCATAATCATCATTAGATGATACTGATTCAAGTTCAATTCGTTCATCATTTTGTGCGTAAGTATCAGTATTTGATTGTATTGTTGTATCAATAATATGACGTGGTTCAATTGATGTATCAAAACCAAATGATGAAGCTATATGTTTTGTTGATAATTGACTACTTTGATCACTTGATGGTGTTGTTATTGATGGAACTATATTCGAAAGAAGATTATGAGATGGACGTTTACTTGATGATGGTGTATTCATATCTTCATAATCATGTTGTCTATTATTAGTTCTATTTTCCATATCATCAATATCGGATGGTGGTGGAGGAAAATCAATTGTTGGTGCAATTTGAACACGTTGAGCACGAAAAGTAAAACGATTCGAAAGAGGAGATAATAGATTTTCATTAATTGATGTTCTCTGTGATGTTGTTGACTAGAAGAAATAAAAGTTTGTAAATTATATAGAATACTTTCAAATTTCTTTCTTATATTGTTCTAATCTAGTCATGACATTAATTATGTATTGCTTCTATAGTTATCATTTTACTCGTACGTCATCATATGAACTAGCGTAATGAATGCTATATTATTGGAATACTACCTTATATTTTTCTATATGGGCACTATTTCAATAAAATAATAACTGAGAAGTTAAGTTGAAGTCCAATGTAGAAAAATTTGCAAAACTGAAATTACGAGTAACTTTTTAACTACGCTCTCTCTTCATATGATATTAAAAAATTTTACTGGTAGTTCATGATATTCGATTAATTTTGATGGTGATAAATGTTGAGATTCACGTTTCGATGCATGATATATGGAAGTAACTGTTACTTTACAGCTAGTTATTGGTGTTGGTGGTAAAACTGATCGTTGTGGAGGTTGTTCAATCTATAGTATATGTAAAAGAAACTATTTATTGCACTCAATTAATCTTACTTGAACACGTGGAACACGTAATTTAGGTGTTTTTAAATTATTATTATTATTATTAATACTATTTGTTGTTAATGGCGGTCGTGGAGTACGTTCATAATCATTTGTTGATATTTTTGGAGTCATATCAAGTGAAGTAATTTCAGATGATTCCTCTTGGTGACCAGTTTGATCAGGATTTACTAATCTAGCAACAGATTGAATAGGAGAACTGAAATATATAAAGATAATTTTATATGGTATAATTGATTAAAATATTATTATTTTACAGAATGAGTTTTTGTTCAATAACCCATGGATGTATTTTTGCCCAAGCATTGAACCAATCAAGATTATATCGACTATCAAGTACACCCGGCATTCGTTTATCAAGATAAGCAAACATTTTCTGTCGTTTCGATACAGATTCTTGTGTTGCTGCCCAATGAATAGGTGTCAGATTAGAATGATCTTTCATTCTTAAACATCCGTATACATGTTTATCTTCTTGTTGTTGTTCTTCTTCAGTATTATTATTATTATTATTGTCTTCTTTTTTTACAGATAATAACATATGTAAAATTGGTACATTACTTAATCGACAAGCAATATGTATTGTTGTATGTCCAGCCGAAAGACGTCTTAAAAATAAAAATGATAAGAATTTATTTATATTAGAAAAACAAAAAATCTTACAATTTTGGATCGGCTTTATTTGCCAAGAGATATTCAACACAAAGAATTTGATTGTGATAAGTAGCTGTTGAAAGTGCTGATTCACCATATAGATTTAATGCATTGATATCAATAGCTATTAAGAAAAGTTATGGTTAAAAGTTTAGACAACGGGAAACAATTGTCCTCTATATAAAGGTAGCTGCAACAAAGGTTTTAATCTCGTTTTCAATCCAGAAATGAAATTTATTAACATTAGAACTGAACATATTATGATCTTGACAATTGAAATCAGAAGTTAAATCTATATTTCTACATCTTTAGTTTGATATTTTATAATTTAATTTATTGTTTTATGATAAATCAAATATATTTACAAAACAGAAGTTGAATTCCTACTTGATATACGCTTTCAAGAACATTTTTACATTATAAATAATACAAATTCAATAGCATCACTTTGTTTGTTGCCGTCCACTATACAATATATATGTACACATCCTGTTGCTTATAGTAAAACGAATAACACGAGTATATAGCAAATAAATCATGTTTGAAACCGTAGAACATTGTCAGTAGAATTACTTACTATCTATTATAAATGTTAGTTCTAGCTTTAATTATTAAACAATCACTACATATGATGATATATTTATATTACTTACTATGTGATTGCAAACATTTTTGAATTTTAACTGTTTGACCTAGTTTTGCAAACTGACAAAAATCGTCGGCATTAGCCATGATCTGAAATTATATAAAAATTGTTTAATAATATATATTCTAATCTAATGCATATTTTTCAAGACAAATATTAAAACTATCTATTGGTACATCGATTCATCCGCAGATACATATACGTCGACGCGAAACAATGACAAATATTAGACGATTGGTTATGTATTTTTCTGATGGTTCGTACGGTTGCTCGAATAATAGGAGATAGAGAATAGTATTTTCTATCAAACTAAATTTATAATTTTTCCTGAAACAAGTAACAAGTGAGAATAGAGAGCGCTGGTATACAGTAATGATATAGTTGTTTTGACTATTATTGAACTTAACTACCATGTGAAGTAGATTGTTCTATAGTCATTTGTAATTTAATTTATCGATATTTTTCCTTTCTTTACAGATATTAATATATAAGTTTGTAGAATATGATGATAGGTCTAGATTAACTACATTTTTATTTGTCATTTAAACATATAACGATAATGTAATTTGTTTGAAGATTCAGTTCTTTAAAAATAGGTGAGAGAAACGACTGTTTCTGAGCGACTTCTATCGATTCATAAATTTTTCGTTCTCATTAATCGATTGTTTGTTGAGATTGAAGATGTGTCTCGATTACTTGTTATATAAATAAAGAAAGGCTTATCGTAAACTATTCATTTTCATAGACAATGACCTCGATATCTGAACACGTCCTATACAATTAATATAAATGATCATAAGCTTTGAACTTTATACAATATGAAAATGAAGATATAGATATAAATTGACTACATCATTCTTTATAGAAATAAGATCGAACGATGAAGGTTACTAACGTGAGTTTATGTTAAAAATTTATTTTTTTCCTATCTCTTAATTATCGTATTGATGTGAGTATATATCATTCAATAAGAATGATTATGACTGAACTACATTTGATAGTTTTTGTCTTCATCATTTATTTGACAATAAGAAAAACGATTGCTGGTCGATGTTATTTATGTTCAGAAAATACTCTTGCTGAATGTGCTGGTAGTAATCAACCAGATTCATCTATATACGCAAATGTTCTTCAATATTATACTGAACCATGTAATGGTCAATGTGTATTATTTCGAAATGAGAATGGTTCAATTATACGTGGATGTTCATGGACATATGGACATATGACATCAAAATCGATTGGATGGCATGATATAAGTCCTGGTATAATAGCATATTTTTGTGATTCTCATTTATGTAATAATGGAACTTACGAACAACCGGAAATATCAATAAAAAGAATAGGAATAATAAATAATCAAATTAATTTATCACCTCAAGAATTATTTATATTGGCAGGCAATAATCCTTCATTATTACAAACAGGTAATTTTCGTGTAAGATATATGATCAGTGAAACTTAATCTCAGATGAATGTGTAGTGTCGTATTATTTGTAAAATACATAGAAACGAATCGTTTATTTTCACAATGCCTATCAAATTTTGATCAAAAGAATTATTCAAGTTTTTTTTTCTTAAATTTCAGAACAACAGCTACCTCGTCGATTATATCAATGTTACTCATGTACAGCACGTTTTCAAGGTTGTGGTGAATATTTAGATCCTCGTTATGCATCCAATTATATACGTCCATGTCCATCAAGTTGTATTATTTTTCGAAATCCTAATGATCTCAATTGTATGTATAATATCATCTACAAAAAAATCGAGTTTATCTTGTTTTCTGTTCTATTGAAGTACTTACACGAGATTGTTCAATATTCTGGCCGCAAGTACATGCTAAAAGTGGTCTTCATAAATTGCTTGGCTCTGATGCATTCTTCTGTCAAGAATCTTTGTAAGAAAAATAATACAATATTTTTTTTAATATCTTTTTCTTCTTTTTTTTTCTAAGATGTAACGGAATCAGTTTTGATCTTATTATGGGTTCGTTTTTAATTTTTAAAACAATCCTAAAATTCAATTATTTTCTCCATAATTAGGTATATTTCACAATCAATTACCAGCTGTTATAACATTTCCTACATTTCCTATTGATGAAAATATTTCATTATCTACTATTACTACTACAAGTACTACTACGACAATAAGAACAACTATTGATATATATAATGATAGTATAATATGGGATGATCCTGATTTAGATGATAATTTAGTTGAATCAACAACATTCATTATTTCAAAGAATTCTACTAATTCGTCTATTTTAAATGAAGATATAGATTTTACTAATGAAATCTTTATCAATACTACAACTATTAATAATTTAACTTTTTCAGAATCAAATTCATCGTTACATGGATGGAATTCTAATGATACATCAATTTCATTATTTCCTATAAATTCAACATCAATTCTAACATCTATGCAAATAGACAATGACGATGATTGGACAATATTCAATACCAGTTCCATGTTACCCGTCACTCGATTTGAACATTTATCTATAGATGATGATACAGATGATTTCTTTTCATTTGATATAGAATCAAATCCTGAAATAAATCAAGATACAAATGATTATTTTTTTCCTTCTACATTAATACCATCATCAATAACTGATAATCATACTCAATTATTGTTTCCGTATTATATACAAAATAATAAAATCCAAGATCAATTTTTAGAATATATAAAACCAATTCCAACATTAGCTATGCCACCATTTTCCTGGATGTTAAATATGGCAAGTAAAAATAAAAATGAAACTATAAATTCTACACTAACTAAAAAACAAAATGTACATTTAACTACATCAACGTCATCGACAACAACAACAACAACAACGACGATATATCAGACTCCTAGTGCATTTTTTGAATATTGTAAAAATAAACAATGCCTTCATGATGGACGTTTAAATTCGGATTGTTTATGCATTTGTTTACCTGCATTCACGGGTGATAATTGCGAAACAGGTATAAAAAATTTCAAATTATATTATATCTTTTATTTATTATATAGTACTCTGCGAACAAGAACCAGCACATATTTGTAGTTTTATACTTGAACATGAATGTCAAACTGA